GCGGATTCACTGGCTCCTGCGGATCTCAAGGAGGCTCATTAGTTAGATTAAAGCCACAGCAACGGGTCACACGGAGTTTAAAATTAATCATGGATTTTAATCACCAGAAACAACCATGACGTGCGTCTCTGTCGGATTTTCCAAAGGCCAAACACGAACATGTAAACAAGAACCAGTGTAAACATTTGCGGGTTGCCCTCTCTCGTCTAGACCTCGGTGTGGCTCTGGAAAGATCCATGTAGCCTGTGCGGGCGTGTGCGGGAGGGGTCGGGGGAGGGGGTGGCGAGGGGATCCTCCTGCTGTTTTCTCTTAATGAGCTTGGACTCCCAGTCCAAAGTGAGCCCCTGCCTTCTGCTTATGCTCTTCGTCACCCAACTGCCTCGGGGCTGGGACAAAGCACAGCCATCCATAACTGCTGTCGGGGCGGCCCTGGGCCCCAGCTGCCAGCCAGGCTCCGCGCAGACCCCGTCTGCAAAGTGGGAGCCGCGTGACCCCGGGCAGCCTGAAACCCAGATGCCGTCTCGCCGATGAGAGCATAGAACTTCGGCGTAATCCTGTGGCTGTTGAACATTAGCCTCATTGGCTCTGCCACCAAACGGGTATCTCAGAGGTTTCCACTCCCCTCCCCATCCGCATCCACTGTTGCCCCTCACCTGGACATGCAAACGACTGCCTCTCCGGTCCTTTTGCTTTCACCCTCCTCCCATTCACCCGGGACCGGCTCTTCCTCAGAAAACATCTGCATCCACAGCAGCACTTCAGAGCGGAAGTCAGAGGCCCCAGGTCCGTGTCCCGAGCTGCCACTCCGAGGGCCCTGCCGATCAACCACCATCCTCAGGCCTCACTCTGGACCTGGCCGTGACGGCCACCTCATTCGTGCTGCGGCCTGAATTCCAGCCATGTTTACTCTCCACATACCCAGGGGGACCCGGAGTTAGGGGAGCTGCATCCTGTTTCAATAGCTAGGTACCTATTGAAGGTACCTGCCTTGTAGGGTCGCCACATCTCATCGTTGGGGAAACCTGGGCATGTAGTTTGTTTGTTTGTTTTATTTAATATATCTTTATTGGCTTCAGAGAGGAAGGGAGAGGGAGAGAGAGAGATAGAAACATCAGTGATGAGAGAGAATCATGGATCGGCTGCCTCCTGCACACTCTACTGAGGCTCAAGCCCACAATCTGGGCATGTGCCCTGACGGAATCAAACCGTGACCTCCAGGTTTATAGGTTGATGCTCAACCACTGAGCCATGCTGGCCTGGCTATGGGCACGTTTTGATTGCCTCTTACTAGTAAAAAAGTGCTGGCCCCAGGATGTCAAACTGTAACATGGAGGAAGGAGCAGAAACCGCACCATGGAGAGAACCTCACAGCAGAGAGTGGGCTGGGCCAGGGCTCACGCAAATGCAACAGCAGAAAGAGAGAGAGAGAGAGAGAGAGAGAGGTATGGTCAGGTTTCCACATCGTCAGCAGGCAGGGCCCGCATGTGGTATTTTGTGGAAGAGCCACATTCAAGGGGCTGAAGAGCCACATGTGGTTCAAGAGCCGCAGTTTGCCCACCACTGGGGCAGACTTTTAAAGTGCAGGGGAGGCCAAAACCGGTTTGGCTCAGTGGATAGAGCGTCAGCCTGCAGACTGAAAGGTCCCGGGTTCGATTCCATCAAGGGCATGTACCTTGGTTGCGGGCACATCTCCAGTAGGGGATGTGCAAGAGGCAGCTGATCGATGATTCTCGTCGATATTTCTAACTCTATCCTCTCTTCCTCTCTGTAAAAAAAAAAAAAATCAATAAAATATATTTTAAAAAAAATAAAGTGCAGGGGAGATTGAGCACTTGTACAGACGGAGAAACTGCGGTGAACAGGGAAAAGCAGGACGTGCAAATGTCCTGTGGCCCAGGGAAGGCAGAACCGGGATGTGCAGGGAGGTGGTCCTGACTCCGAGCTCACAACATTCCCCGTCCCCCGAATCCAAAGCATGGCCCTGTACTGAGCATCTGTCTGTTGAAGAGTCCGTGCCACTCTGCATCAAGGGGGCGTCTTAATCGTCTCAAGCAGAGCTGATTTTGTTTTCCAAAAACTGCAGCATATTATTCACTTATCACAGTGGCCCCAGAGGCGAAACCCCGCCCCCCACCAGCACAGTTTTCCTGGGAGCAGCCTCTGCCCTTCACTTACGCGCCATCTGCTGAGGCAGCTTTCTGCGGAATAGTTGTGGCAGGGACGGCATGGCCCTCAGAGCCGAACACATTGACTATCTGGATCTTGGCAAAAAGGTTTGCCAAACCCTCATATGGACAATCCCACATGTTGTTTCTGGGATGAATTCTTTCTAGTGATATTCGATGGCTCAGGGTCACTTCCACTGTTCAATGTCCATGTTATCTGTTCACTACATTTTTATCAAACACCACCCCCAGCACCCCAAAAAAGGCCATAAGTCCATTGGGGGGGGGGTGTTCTGCATGGAGGAGACTATGCAGCCTTCCCCCAAGTAACATGTGACCCGTGAGGCCCCCTGTCGCTGTCCCCAGAGGCTCCCTGGGTTTTGCCACCCCCTGGGGGCCTTCAGTTCCTATAAGGCTTCCCCGGGATTCTACTTACAAACTGGCTGGGGGATAAGGGGGGAGTTGTGGTTGCCTGGGAAACAAAAACAAAGCACAGCTCAGCGGCGTGGCTCAGTGGTTGAGCATGGGCCAATGACCCATGCTCATGGTTCGATTCCTGGTCAGGGCCCATGTCTGGGTTGCGAGCTTGACCCCCAGTGTGGGGCCGTGCAGGAGGCAGCCGATCCATGATTCTCCCTCATCATTGATGTTTCTCTCTCTCTCCCTTGTTCTCTCTCTAAAAATCAATAAAAACATTTAAAAAAGAAAAAGCACAGAGGACAGGGTCTCCACACGCTCACTTCCCCCCACCCCCACCCCCCTGGTTAAAGGACCATCGGAGCTTTGTGCTTCTGCACAGAACCAGCCGGAGGAGCCCTGGATGCCAGCTTTATCTGCTCTCCACGCCGGCCCAGCCCTCAGAGAAATTACAGGTTACCCAGAGATTCCCACCGGGACAACCGGCTCCTGGCCCTCGGGCGCTTTCACCGGGGATCCCACTCCCGAGGCCCTCGGCGCTGTCGGGATGCGGTGGCTGCTTGCCAGAGCCCGCCTCCAGCAGCTGGACACATTTTCCATTGGACCTGCACAGAAGAATGTTCCCGCGGCTGAAGTTTTCCATGATTGCGCTGCCCCGTGAGAGGAGCAGAGCCAGCTGGGAGGAGTGTTCTGCGTCTGCTCCCGCACGGCCCAGGAGCCAGCAGGAAGGGCCCGGGCGGCGGTCTTTAACTTGCAACAGCCGGTGACAGGAGGAAGAGAGCCCCGCCCCACTGCAGGACTCTCTTCCGGAATGGTGTGTGTTAGCTCTCTCATTGCCCAGTGTGTCCGCTCGACCTGGGCACCAAAGCCACAAGTTCAGGACAAGATTCCAGAGAACAGTGATGTCACAGTCCTCCTGATTGGCTGGCATCTCAAGAATGGTTTCCCTAGCCCCACTGGCATGGCTCAGTGGTTGAGTGTCGACCTATGAACCAGGAGGTCAAAATTTGATTCCCAGTCAGGGCACATGTCCTGGTTGTGGCTTTGATCCCCAGTGCCAAGTGATGATTCTCTCTCATCATTGATGTTTCTATCTCTCTCTCACTTCATCTCTGAAATCAATTAAATACACACACACACACACACACACACACACACACACACTAAAGGCCCAGTGCACAAAATTCATGCACAGAGTAGGGGGGGTCCCTCATCCCGGCCTGCACCCTCTTGCAATCCAGGACCTTTCTGGGGATGTCCAACTGTGGGATCGGGCCTAAACTAGCAGTAGGACATCCCTCTCGCAATTTGGGTACTGCTGGCTCCTAACTGCTTGCCTGCCTGCCTGATCACCCCTAACCACTCACCTGCCTGCCTGATTGCCCCTAATTGCTCCCTCGGAGGCGGGGCCAGCAGGGGCAAGGGGCCATGGTGTTCTGGTCTCTGTTTGTTCTGGTTGGTCCACGGTTTCAGTAGCTGGGCTTTTATTATATAGGATATATCATTTATTAAAAAAAAAAAAAATGCTTTGCCTAAAGCCCTCCCAGAAGACAAAATGATTCTCTTTGGTTTTAAAAATGACAAAAAGGGAAGAAAATAAAAGAATGGGCAGGGCTCTTCTTTTAAGACCGTCAAATGGTACTTAAGTGAAAATAATTGTGTGTTAGACGCCAGAGGGAGGGGCACTGGGGAAACCCCAGGTTTGAGCTCAGAGGAGTGTGTGTGTGTGTGTGTGTGTTGCTGCCTGAAGCCACACTGAGCTGCAGAGGTCTTCGGAGGAGCCCGAGCTCACCTCTGGCTACTGAGGCCCACGTGGACAAGACACGGATGCCACGCTCAGGGCGTGCTGGTCACACCAGCCAGCCCGGTGACACAGGGAAGCAGTCTATCCCGTTCCGCCCACGGAGGGCGGCCTCGGCGGGCCCCACCCACACGGCAAACCGCCGGGCCCGCCCCACCCGCCCGAAATGACACCTCAGAGCACCTGTGTGAAGTCTCCGGGGGTTTCTACACATAAAAATTAGTCAATTAGCAATGATTACCGTATGTTAGGTGAGCGCGGGTTGTTATTATCATAATTTTACAGAGAAAATGAGAGTGGTGGAGGTGCCAGGAGAAAAATTAAAATTAACGAGTTCCTAGATCATAGGCCTGAGCTGCAAGGACTTTAAAGAGCTTACTTATTAAAAAAAAAAAAAAAAGAAAGAAAGAAGGAAAGGAAAGGAAAGGAAAGGAAAGGAAAGGAAAGGAAAGGAAAGGAAAGGAAAGGAAAGGAAAGGAAAGGAAAGGAAAGGAAAGGAAAGGAAAGGAAAGGAAAGGAAAGGAAAGGAAAGGAAAGGAAAGGAAAGGAAAGGAAAGGAAAGGAAAGGGGGGGGAAAAGCATGCTGTAAAGGGAAACTTGAATATTACAAAACAGACTTTCCGAATTAAAACTGTTCGATTTATTCATGGAACTAGTGCTGGGATTGTTTTTCATTTATGACTGGAAGCTGCTAGGTGTTTTTTGTTTGTTTGTTTGTTTTGTTTTTTTCAAACCTTCCTATACATCTGGGAGTGCCGGCCATTGGTGTTTGGTGGGAGATTCCGTGTTGTCACAGGTCTTCCCTCTTCAAATCCATTTCCTCGTTTATTTATTTTTTTCCTTCTTAAGAATCACCCGGGGTCTCCGATGTTTCAGGAGCCTGGAGAATGTGTCTGGGTCCGGGAAGATTTGGGTAAGTTGCATTCGGTGCGTGTCCTCTGTGAGCCAGTGCTCCACGTGGCCGCTTTCTTAGAGACTTGGAAAGTTGAATTTGGTTTTAGGAACTGGTCCATCCTGGGATTTAGCGGAAAGAGGAGGATCTGTGGGTGCGTAAGTCATTTTGAATGAATTTTATTAAAAGGAGCATTGAATCGCCTTCTCACGTGCAACTTCCCTTCCCAGCTGACTGCTTCCAGGCAGGGGTCCTGGTGATGTTTGGGAGGGCGATTAGTGTGCGTGGCCTTCGTTGGAACTACCGGGAGAAGGATGCTCTTTGGGTGGGCGTGGCGAGCCTGCGGGATGCAGGGCTGTGTGTGCCACCATGGAGACCTCTGGGGAGCCCCCCGCCAGGAGAGCCCAGGGGGTCCCGGGTGGGGCTGATCCCCAGGGTGAGGGAGGGCGGCAATGCCTGAGAAAAGCTGTCCCCGTTAGCAGCACGGCGGCCCCGCAGGTCCCGGGGGAGCCGGCTGTTCAGAATGCAGGGGACTTCGCGATGGGAGCTGTGTGTACGTGCGGGTGCGCTCCCCAGACACCCTGGGATTCGTCTCCCCGTGCAGTGCCGTGGCGTCACCCGTGAAGAGGTCCGAGAGCAGCGCTTACCTGGAGCAAGAGAAGGAGCTGGTCTTCGTCCGACAGGAGGGGGCACCTGGACACCATGCCCCTCTCTGAAGGACCCAGACCTGCTCAACTGTGCCCTCGGCGACCCGAAGCCCAGCCCTGCTCTCCAGCACCCCCAATCCAGCATCCCCCCCAAACAAGCACCCCCCAATCCGTTCAAAGTCCTCACCACGTGTGCCCTGCAGGCCCCCTGAGATTAGGTCCTGCCCTGCCCATGAGTCCCCACTCTGTTCATTTCAGCCATGAAACACATGCCTGGCCACCAGCCTGACAGGCAGGGGTTCTCTCCCTGATGCTAAAATTAACCCGGAGGCGCGGCTGGCACACACAGACTCTCCTTTGCCTAAAGAGGAAGGCCCCCACCCCACCCACCCCACCCCTGGCCTCAGCTGCAGCATTTCATCAGCCCCTGGCCGGGCCAGGGTGCAGGGGGGAAGCAGGGTGCGGGTCTCAGAGAAGCTACGCCCAGAGCAAGCACTAATCTCCCGTTTACGGTGTCTGCCAGCCGGGCCTGGGCCTCAGAACCAGTTTGGTTTGGAGATTACCACCCTGTTGACAGGAGCCCACCCCGGGACAATGAGAGCCCACACACCTCTGTGGAATGAACTTGCTTCTGGCCGGTTCACAGAGACATGGCCTGAGCAGCCTCCTGCAGGAATGACACTGTTCACCGGGACAAATGCCGATCCGGTCCGCCCCATGCCCGCCAGAGAAGGGCACCGACTAAAGCAACTGGATGGAAGGCCCTCAAACGGGCAACAGACGCCCCCCTTAAAACCCGGTTAAAGGTCACTGCCCAGTGGCTGCTTCTGGAAGGTCAGTTCCAGCAATAGCCCCTCTGGACACGAGGGCGATCCTTGCACTCCAGGAAGCCGTTAAGTAGCGAAGGTCAGAGGTCGCAACAGCCACAGAGGGAGAAGGAGAAGCAAAAGCCATGGGCGAATGGACGCTGTCATCCATCCGGCCTCCCATGCCCACAGCCGCCCTGAGCCCAGGGGTCCAACTTCAGAAACCCGCGGCTTCTCAGCCCTGGGAGAGAGTGTCCCGTCCATGGGTGATGCTGGGAACCCCCAGGTCTTCCTTCCGCACGCAGAGGCTCCCCGTCAGGATGGGAAAGGCCTGATGACATTCCTGGGCAGCCACGTCCCATCTGGATGGCACCAGCAACAGGGCTGCCCTGGCCCCCTGGGAGCCCAGGCACCTGGGGGCTCTCCAGACCCCGGGTCAGTATCCGAATCCGCGTGAACACCTAGGAGTCACCGCGGCCCGCGGCCCTGCAGGACACCTTGGCCTTGTCCCGGCCTGGAAGCGACAGGGGGGACCCAGCCGCCCATGCGGGCGCAGAGCCGGCCTCTGAGCCCAGGCTCCCCACAGTCCAGGACGGATTCGGCAGCGGCCGTAAGTGCCCGCATAGCGGCGCAGCCAGAAGCGCGAAGGGGGCGGGGAGGGGGCGGGGAGGGGCGGGACCGGACTGCCCAGAGGGGGTGGCGGTGGTCCCGGAAGGGGCTCGGCCATCCGGGCGAGGGAGCCACAGCAGCCTAAGGATCCAGACTCAGGGAGCCTTTTCTAGGCTGGAATTTGCCTGCAGAAGCAAAAACTGCTAGAGAGGGGCGACGAGCCCCCAGAGAGGAGGGCGCGGCTGCGTCCTGGGGGCCCGGCCTCCTCTCAGCGGCCCCAAGGCCGGCCTCCCGCCCCCTTGGCCTCCCCGCCGCCGGCCTCCCCGCCGCCTGCCTCCCGGGAGCAGCTGGCGGGCGGGCCGGGCGGGCCGGGCTGGATGTACGTGCGCTCGCGCTCGCGCAAATACGGCGGAGGAGCTGGAGGAGCTCGGGGCCTTTTCCGAGACGCCGGCCGAGTTGGGCTCAGTCCGGGGCGAGCGCGCGCGCGGCCGGGTCTGCGCTCCTCGCTCCTCGCAGGGCGGGCGCCGCGCCCCGGCGGCGGCGACCCCGGCCCGGGCCCCGCCACCACCACCACCGCCACCACCATGGGCTTCGAGCTGGACCGCTTCGACGGCGACGTGGACCCGGACCTCAAGTGCGCGCTGTGCGGGAAGGTGCTGGAGGACCCGCTGACCACGCCGTGCGGCCACGTCTTCTGCGCGGGCTGCGTGCTGCCCTGGGTGGTGCAGGAGGGCAGCTGCCCCGCGCGCTGCCGCGGCCGCCTGTCCGCCAAGGAGCTCAACCACGTCCTGCCGCTCAAGCACCTCATCCTCAAGCTGGACATCAAGTGCGCGCACGCGGCGCGGGGCTGCGGCCGGGTGGTGCAGCTGCAGGCGCTGCCCGCGCACCTGGAGCGCTGCGACTTCGCGCCCGTGCGCTGCCGCCACGCGGGCTGCGGCCAGGTGCTGCCGCGCGGGGACCTGGAGGCGCACATGCGGGACGCGTGCGACGCCAGGCCCGTGGGCCGCTGCCAGGAGGGCTGCGGGCTGCCGCTGACCCGCGGGGAGCTGCGCGCCGGCGGCCACTGCTGCGCGCGGGCCCTGCGGGCGCACAACGGCGCGCTGCAGGCCCGGCTGGCCGCGCTGCACAAGGCGCTCAAGAAGGAGGCGCTGCGCGCGGGCAAGCGGGAGAAGGCGCTGGCGGCGCAGCTGGCCGCGGCGCAGCTGGAGCTGCAGATGACCGCCCTGCGCTACCAGAAGAAGTTCACCGAGTACAGCGCGCGCCTCGACTCGCTCAGCCGCTGCGTGGCCGCGCCGGCTGGCGGCAAGGTAGGTGCCTCCCCGCCCGCCCAGCAGACCCCGGCCAGGCCCAGGACGCAAGACACCTCCCCTCCCAGTCCCCTGGGCGCTGGGATGCATCCATGCCCCTCCTCTTCCCGCTGACTGCCAGCCAGATGGATCGCCAGGAGCTGGGCGCCCAGTCCACCCAAGCTTGGGAACTGGGGTCCCTGCAGAGGGACCAGCGCACAGGGTGGCATAGGCCCCGGCAGCTGCAGGGCCTGGAAAGAGAGAGAGAGAGAGAGAGAGAGAGAGAGAGAGGGGAACCCGCAGCCTGGGGAGAGCCAGGCCCGCTTCTAGTGTCCCTGCTCAGACCCGGTGTCTTGGTGGAAAACCGTGGTCCCCACGCAGTGACCCGGAGGAAGATGTTGGTGTGTGGGGGGAGGGAGGTCCAGGCTTCCCCCGGGGTCCAGGGCCAGTCCAGGGCGAGGAAGAAGGAGGCCAGAGAGGCCGCCTCGGGGGTGGTGGGGGCAGGCTCAGGCGCCGAGTGCTGGCAGCAGCAGCTGCTGACCTTGAGCGAGCCGCCCGGGCAGGGATGGACTCAGCCGGGCACCCTCTGTGCCTTCCACCCGGGATCCCGGAAGGGATTAAAGGAAGCGACTCGGAGCATGAAGTAGCCCCTGAGACTGGGCCAGGTCTTGTGAATGTATTGCTGACCGGCTGGGTGACCTCGTGATGTGACCCAGTGGCTCCAGAGCCTCTTAACTGTGAAGTGGGTGCTGTCAGCCCTCAGGGAGAGCAGCTGTGTGAGGAGCCGGCGCTGGGGGTGATGGGGGTGGGGGTGGATGGGGTGGGGGTGAGTGCCCAGCTGTGCCTGCCGTTATCTTAAGGCCCCAGCCTCCCTGGTGCTTGCTGGGAGGTGGCGTCTCGCACCGTCTGAGGGCGGCTTTGCTAGGGGCCTCAGCTGTTCCCCGTCTGTCTGTCTCGTTTGTACAATAGATGAAGGAACGGAGGCCGGGGGACGGGAGGCCCTGGGCCTGGGTCCCAGCTGTGAGGTGGGCGGTGGGGTGCTGCACCCACACGCGCCCGGGTCTCCAGCCCGGACCCCGGACGCCTGCCGTGTGGCCGCTGGCTGAAGCCACGGGTGCGGTTGGCTGAGGGTGGACGGTGTGCCAGCAACCAGGGCCGTGCTTTCTGTGCATCATCTACTCAGTCCGCGGAGGGGAGCGGGCGGACTCAGAGAGGTCCCAGGGCTGCACAGAGCCAGACAGCAACTGGGAGGGAGGGGGGGGGGGGACAGAGCCGGAACCCTCAGCTCCGCCTGGGCACCCACGGGCACAGTGGCCCATGATTCTCCGTTGTGGGATGGATAGCTGGCCGCATCCCTGCCTGCACCCACGAGATCCTAGTCACACCAGCCCCCGCGTTTCCACAATCCAAAATGTCTCCGGATATTGTCCAGTGTTCTCTGGCTGGGGGAGGGGGCGGGGAAATCACCCCCTGAGAACTGGGGTTTCCTGGTTGCAAACAGGGGGGTGGGACTCCCTCCACTGCCTGTCGATATGGCTCCTGCCTGTCGATACGGCTCCGAGGAGGAGACATACCTGCCCCCAGGGCCCCAGGCCTGCCTCTGCTTTCCCTCCCGCTGGCCCAGCCCCCTCCTCCCAGTGCACACCAGGCCCCAAGTCTCCGGGCCCCCCTCCCCCCGGCCCCGCCTGCCTGTCAGCTGCAGCAGGAGCAGCTGGCCTGGCCTCCCCGAGCTCAGGGCAAATATTTACAGCTCGGAGCTCACCGGGGCCCTACAGGCTACAAAGGGCCAGAGGGGCCAGGAGTCACCCCCCGGCGAGGCCCAGGCTGGTCCCAGGCAGGCGCCGGGCCGGCCGGGCCCAGGGACTCGGGTTCCGGCTGGCCTTGCTGTCCTCTGGCCGCCCTGCGCGGCTTTAAGCGATCCTTGTTTATAAATAAGCCCTTCGCCCCCTCCCCCAGGGTTGGCACGTCATTCATTGTTAGGCGCGTTTATTATTCCTCTTGCCTTTTCTGTTTTCTTTCTGGAGTGTTTGGGTAAATTCTCCCAGAATCAAAGGTCCGGAACTTGGATGAACCCTGGGTGCCGGGAAGCTCTGAGTGGGAGGGCCATCGGGGGGCCTTCAGCCGGGGGCCCAGATGTTGCCTGTGGCATTCACAGAGCAAGTCTCCAGGCAACAGAGCCCGGACTGCTCCCTGGGCCAGCCGAGCCCCAAGAGTGGGTGGGAGGGCGAGCCCCAAGAGTGGGTGGGAGAGTGAGCCCCAAGAGTGGGTGGGAGGGCGAGCCCCAAGAATGGGGAGGCGAGAGCTGCACTGGTTGGTTTCTCTCTCGGGCCCCAGCCACCGCCTCAGCCAGGCCTCCCCCTCCCAGCAGCTCCTCTGGCCCCCGGTGCCCCTCTCGGGGCCCTTGCGGCTCCCCAGGTCATGTAAGAACCCGCTTATTGCATCAGGTGAACTCTACTCTGCCCCCCACCCCCACCCCCCTTCCCCAAAGGCAGGCGTCGATAACAGTTCCTCTGACTCTCAACCATTTTGCAGTTTTGTGTTGTTCGGTTTTGTTTTTGTTCATCCTCACCTAGGATATTTTTCCATTGGTTTTTAGAGAGAGTGGAAGGGAGAGGGAGAGAAACACCAATGTGAGAGACACATCAATTGATTGCCGACCACTAACACCTTGACCAGGACCGGGGGACCTGCAACCCAGGTACATACCCTTTGACGGGAATAGAACCGGGGACCCTTCGGTCCTTGGGCCCGTCACACTACCCACTGAGCCACACAGGCCGGGGCTCTTAGAATTCACTTCTGCGCATCATCCTAGTGACTCACCCTCAGGCCTGAGCGCTTCCTCTCTGTCCTTCCTCCGAGAATTCTTTTTCCCTGGAAGGGAGGCGCGTGGCGGGTGGGGGCGGGTCCATGCCGCTGACCACTAGGATCGGCTTGAAGGACGGGACACACAGACGTCTGTGTAGGGAGTGAGACCCCGCCTTCTTCGGATGGAATGTCTGGCACCAACGCTGCTCCCCGTCCCCCGCCCCCGCCCTGCACATTTTTGCGCTTTCTCGTCCGCGGGCCGCAGACGGAGCCCTGTCCCAGCTGTCCCAGCTTCGCTTAATCCGAGACCGAGGTGTCGCGTCCCCCAGATGCCCAGGCCGGCGGTCAGTCAATGACAGCCCTCGGCCTGCCCGCCGACCGCGGGGACCACGGTGGGGAGGGCAGAGTCTGCTCTGACAGGCGCGGGGGACCCGGGGGACTGCCACGCCCTCCGAGGTGGCGAGCGTCCAGGCGTCCCAGCTGGGCTTGGGGAGGGCAGTGACGCAGGAGAGGGACGTTGCCCGTAGAAGGCAGTTTGCCTTCTGTAACAATAAACAGCCGCCACGGGGTGTCTTCTGACGAAGGACACTTGATTTTTTCCCGCTCGTTCCCTGGGACTTGTGTTCCCCCACCGTCCTTACCCAGTTAAGACCGTGAGTTGGAAGCTGGGCAGGCTGCGATCTGTCTGGGCAGTCTTAATATTGATCTAGTGCAGGGGCCGTTGGGATATTTATAACTTCATTCCCGGCCCAGACAAAATTCCACTTAAGAAAAAAGAGCAGCCTGCTCTGTTCGGTCAGACGTTTAGTTCACTCACCCACGTGACTTCGCCGGCCTTCTGTGGCCCTCGAACTGGGCATTCCCCACCCCTGCTCCAGGTGTCATCTTCTTAGAGAATCACCATGAGGCCGGGCATGCCAAGTTTCCGTTTCCACTGGCACTTCCGGGCAGACATGATGTGACCGTCCAATGAGACCGACCCCACAGGGTTCTGGGGGCCCGACTGCCCCTGGGCGGGGTCCCGGCTGGACGCTGGGGCGCTGAGGAGCTGCTAGAGCCCCCTGCCCCTCCCCACAAGGAGACAGCGATGCGGCTGGACCCCAGGCTCTCGGGGGCAGCTCCCTGCTCCCCTGGGTTCTGGCTCCCGGGGCTGACACGTGCCTTCGGGAACGAGAGCCTCGAAACGGGTGTCCTCAGTGATGTGGTTGTGCATTCTCCTTTCTGCTGCGTCTCCCGCATTACCGCTCAGTTTCCAACACCGACGAGTTACGTAAGGCACGTAAGACAACACGCTCAGAGTTTATGACGAGGTGTTTCATAGTTTAAAACGCTGCATTTAAATATTCCTGTGTTGGGCTGAAACCGGTTTGGCTCAGTGGGTAGAGCGTCGGTCTGCGGACTGAAAGGTCCCAGGTTGGATTCCGGTCAAGGGCACGTACCTTGGTTGCGGGCACATCCCCCGTAGGGGGTGTGCAAGAGGCAGCTGATAGATGATTCTCTCTCATCGATGTTTCTAACTCTCTATCCCTCTCTCTTCCTCTCTGTAAAAAAAACAATAAAATATATTTTTTAAAAACAATAATAATAATAATAAATAAATAAATATTCCCGTGTTGGAACAGAAAAAGCTAGCAAAGCCTATGGCGAGCTTCTAGCGGGTACACACACGTGATGTTGTGCACACCGGCAACACGTCAGTGCGTGTCGGCAAGCTTGGGGTAACGCCACACCTGTCGGTCACAGTTCACACGTGGGTTCATCTGTGCGTGTTCATTGGTCTGTTCCGTGATCGTTTGCTCCGCAGCCCTGGCTTCTCCGTCCCCGGGGCAGATGCCCATGGCCATGAGTCCCGCCTGGCGACTCTGCATGTGTGTTGTGAGGCATCGTGTTGACCCGCCCGCCTTATGCTGTCATCCACTCCGCGCTGCACCTCCTGTGGTCGCGGTGACACCTGTGACAACGCCCGCCCTTTCCGTAGATCACGATTTCCCTCGGGTTTGCATATGATGTTTTTTGTTTGTTTGTTTTGCTTTGTTTTAATATTTTTATTGATTTCAGAGAGGAAGGGAGAGGGAGAGAGAGAGAAACATCAATGATGAGAGAGAATCGTTGATCAACTGCCCCGTGCACACCCCCGACTGGGGATCAAGCCCACAACCTGGGCGTGTGCCCTGACCGGGAATCGAACCGTGACCTCCTGGTTCACAGGTTGCTGCTCCACCTCCTGACTTTCCCTGTGTGTCCCCCGCGTCACCCCAGCAGAGAGGACTGTGGTCGGCTGCACATGTGCTCAGACAGCCGGGCAGGCTGTGGGTACCGTTCATGATGGGGGTCCTCGGGTGGGGAGCAAACAATCGTGCTGACAGCCCGAGTACCCAGGGGTACCATGGGAAGACGCACTTGCAGACCCGGGTCTGCTGGAAGGTGCTCGCCTGGTATCTCCCACGGTCACCCCAGAGCCACAAGGTGTTGGCACTCTAAACACAGGGCACGGTGCCCGCGTGGCCCAGCAGTTCCCTTGCGTACGCTCCCCCAGAGGCTTAGCATGGGTGATGGTCAGCGGCGTGGCCCTGAGTCCACGTAGATGGGGCGAGTCCCGGCCCCCTGCTTGAGTTGGTGATGAACTGTGACCTCCTCTGTTCCCTGCAGGGCGAAGAGACCAAAAGCCTGACCCTGGTCCTGCACCGCGACGCAGGCTCCCTCGGCTTCAACATCATCGGGGGCCGGCCGTGTGCGGTAGGTGCTCCTTCCTCAGCCGTTCTCCTTCCCCGGGCGGCCGGGGAGGGGCGGGCCTGGGGAGGGAAGGCGGAACCTCGGTCGTGCCCTTCGCTCACTTCTGTAGTTGGAGACTTCGTTATTGATGTCTCCTCCCCACACTCGGGGACTCTGTTTGGTCGTCTCCTACTATGCGGCTTGTCCACGCTGCTCGGATTGGGGGTGACGTCTGCGAGTGGGGCAGTCGAGCTGCCCAGGTGGTGGGGTGTGTGCAGGTGGCACTGAACTGGAGTGTGGGCTCCGCTCCGGGTCATTGCCAAGCGTCGGGAATGGGCCCTGTTGTGGGTTTGTGAGTGTCTGCCCTTCCCCACGGCCTGGTCCAGCCCCTTGTCTGGAGAGAAGGGGCCAAGTTCACATCCGTCAGGGTAACTGCCAGGTGTGTCTGTCCTGGGCTCCGGGAGGAGGCAAAGCCGTGGTCAGCGTGTCAGCTCCAGGTGGGGTCACCCGGATGGAGTCATCACTCCCTCCTTTGCTGGCGTTTCCTCGTTTATTTATAAACCGTGCTGTGCACAGAGGTGCCGTCTCCCAGCTGGGTTGTTGCATTTATAGAACACAGGCAGATTTAGCATAATTTTCTCTCTGTCTCTGTCTCTCTCTCTCTCTCTCTCTCTCTCCTCTCTCTCTCTCTCTCTCTCTCTCTCTCTCTCTCTTGTTTCTCCTTCTCCTCCTTCTCCTCCTCCTCTCCCTCCTTCCTTCCTTACCGGAGGGTATTTTTCCCAGAGAGAATGGAAGGAAGGGAGGAGAGAGGGAAACATGCTTCCTAGGACTTCGGATTGAGCATTGGTTTGAACTTGAAGCCACAGCTGCATGAGCCCCTCACAGGGGAGTCGGCCTGTCCTCGGGGCTTTGACACCGGCACTGACGTCTCCTTTCCGGGTTATGTCTTCTCCCCACTTGGGGCTGTCAGAATACACACAACATTTACCCAATAAGTTGGCCGTCTCTCATGGATCTGGCGTGTGGAGCCCAAACAATTACAATAGAAGCGTCAGAGGTGACTCACCTCAGATCAGGTGACGCACGTAATGAGAATGAAGATGTTAGGAATGCTGAGAGAGTTACCACGTGTGACACAGACACGCGGCGAGCAAGTGCTGTTGGGAAAACGGTGCAGACAGAAGAGCTGACGCAGCACATCTGCCCATCACAGGGGGCCCTGAAGTAGGCTGTCCATCTGTCCATCATGGAGGCCCGGTTGTAGGCTGTCTATCTGTCCATCACAGGGGGCCCTGAAATAGGCTGTCCATCTGTCCATCATGGAGGCCCGGTTGTAGGCTGTCTATCTGTCCATCACAGGGAGCCCTGAAATAGGCTGTCCATCTGTCCATCATGGAGGCCCGGTTGTAGGCTGTCTATCTGTCCATCACAGGGAGCCCTGAAATAGGCTGTCCATCTGTGTTCTTTGTGAGTTCTCATCCTGAGGAGCATCGCCTCCGCCCCTCAGAACCGCAGGCTGTGGTCAGGCCCTCCCGGCATCTCACCACCCAGCCAGGTCCCTCCACCTTGACCACAGCGGCTTTAAGTGCCTTAGGGGAGGAGCCAAGCAGGAGACGCTTTTTAAAAGAAAAATGTAGCTCTCGGGGGTGGACTTGATTGTTTTCTTTGACTTCTGTTCTCATGGTCTTTTTTTAAAAAGTATATTTTTATTGATTTCAAATAGGAAGGGAGAGGGAGAGAGAGAAATATCAATGATGAGAGAGAATCCTTGACTGGTTGCCTCCAGCACATCCCCCATTGGTGATCGAGCCCACAACCTGGGCATGTACCCTGGATCAAGAATCGAACTGTGACTTCCTGGTTCATAGGTCAACACCCAACCACTGAGCCACGCCAGCCGGGCCTACACGGTCTTGCTTTAACCTAAACTGGTGTTTGCTCGTGCCCCTTCCCTCCCGGCTTTGCTGGGACATTCAGATGCTCCTAGAGAACAGGGCCTCGTGTTGGATGTCGTTTTCAGCAAGAGGAGCCCGAGCCAAACCCCATCCCATCTCCCTCTTTTCAGCCAAGAAATGCGCGGCCGTTAGAGCAGAGCGAACACAGATCCCTTTCACTCGCTCTGCTGACATCACCTCTGAGGGAGCTCGGGCTTGTCCATAAATCCTTTGTGGTCCACGGAGGCGTCGCAGCGTCTCTGGTGGAATGTCCCGCCCCTGGGAATGCTGGTCTTCCGTGCGCGCGCGTGCGTGCGTGCGTGTGTGACGTTTCTCAGTGGGAGACAGTATTGCCCTCAGAGTGCATGGCTCAAACAGTGGCGCATTCAAACCATCCTGGGTTTGAATCTGACCTATGCTACCTTTTAGCTGTGTGGCCTTGGGTGAGTTACTTAACCTCTCTGTCCCAGGTTTTTTCGTGTGGGAATGCGTACGCATAGTGTGCATTGCATGCTGGGCATGGAGCTCCCGGCCAGCCTGGTGCCTGGCCTGTGCTGCCTCAGAGACCCTCACGCACACCTGAGAGTTGCACGTAGGCAGCGACAGGAGCCACAGGGCCAGGGCTTAGGTGAGGCGGCTGCAGGAGGCGGGGGCCCGTGGAAGCTCAGGCAGGCCATGCGGGGTTCGGGGAGAGGCGAGGACAGGAGGTCTGGGACAGCAGGCCGGCCTGGCACCCACCATCCTGCTGACCCCTCCCTCCGGGAGAGTCTGGTAGGATCCAGGGGGCAGTTAGAGACCGGCCTTGTCCCGGGGGGGGTAGGTGCTGGGGGGACACTGCTTGTGTGAGGCTGTGACTTGGGGCTCTGTGAGTCCCAGTTACAGCTCCATGTGGCCGAGAGGCCGGCAGTGTGGGGATCCCCTGAGCTTAGGCCGTGGCACGTGAACAGGAGCCAGAAGCACCTTCAGGGTCCTCCCTCCCCTCCCCTGGGGGAACGCAGGGCTTTATGGCTGTTCCAGGAGGAAAATATGGTCTTTTCATAGTTTTTTTTTGTTGTTGTTGTTGTTGTTGTTTTTAATGTGTAATTTTTATTGATTTCAGAGAGGAAGGGAGAGGGTGAATGAGGGAGAGAGACACATCCATGATGAGAAAGAATCATTGATCAGCTGCCTCTTGCACACCCCACACTAGGATGGAGCCTGTGCCCTGACTAGGGGTTGAACCTGGGACCCTTCGGTCTGCGGGCCAGTGCCCAACGGCTGAGCCATGCCGGCGAGGGCCATCGTTATGTTTAACCAGCGGCGTTCCGAGTTTGCGTGCAGACTGGCAGGGAGGAGGGTCTGCGGGTCCGGGCGGGGCGTCTCCGCCACCCGGACTTGGCGTGGGTGTGGAGGGGCCTGGGCCCTCTCGGTGCTGTGTCTGGAAGCCACACGTGCTGGGCGTTCCGTTTCCACGTCGCTGGCGCTCGGTGCCAGGCTCGGAGAGCCCACCGCGGTACCGCGTGGGCAGACGGCCGTGCCCAGGCTGAGAGGGCGCGTGTTCTGAGCGTGGGGGTGGGGGTGGCGTTTGGGCTTTGAGAAGAGGAAGGAAGGCGTGCGGGCAGGGGGCTCGCTCCTGCCCCGGAAAGTTTCTGTCTAGGCGCTGGGAGACCTACAGGGGTGTGAGGAGGGTGGGGGTTCAGAAATTGTTAGGGTGGGGAGTGGGGGGGTGATGGCTTTTCTGACGCAAACCAGAGCGGAAATAAAACACTCTGTCACCGTGAGAGGATTCCACAGGGGAAAGCTGTTGAGAATCACTAAGTTGGGTAAAAGCGTCAGTAAAGTACGTTAAAAGCTGGTCGGCATCACCGTGAGCTCTGTGCGGGTGACGGTGGGGGAGGCGCCTGTCTGGGCCCATCCTTGAAACTGTCTGGGGGTACGTGGGCAGAAGTGGTCAAATGTGCCCCGACGCTCCCTGGCTGGGGATTGCCCCACAGCCACGCCAGCAAAGCTGTTTGAGAATGCAGGGGGAAGGCGCGGCCCGCGTGGCTCAGCTGGTTGGAGTGACGTCCTGTACATCCAAAGGTCTCGGGTTCGATTCCCAGCCTGGGCACATCCCCAGGATGCAGGTTCCATCCCCGGGTGGGTGTGCACAGGAGGCAACTGATCAATGTTTCTCTCTTGCACTGATCTCTCTCTCTCTCTCTCTCTCTCCCCCCCTCTCTCTCTCTCTCTCCCCCTCTCTCCCTTCCTCCCTCCCTCCCCCTTCCTATTTCTAAAAATTCAATAAACATATCCTCCGGAGGATTAAAAAGCAATTTTAAAAATGCAGGAGGGAGATGTCAGCACAGCCTGTCTTTCTCAGCCACACCTAGAGCAGGGCTTATGTCTCCGTGTTGGGTGCTGTTCAGCCCCTGAGGGAGTCAGGCCGACTGTGGGACTGAGGGAAACTCGGCCTGGTTTTTAAAGTGACGGTGGCAATGTGGAGAGGGGCAGACATGGCAGAGAGGGGCAGACACGGGCGGAGAGGGGCAGACACGGGAGGAGAGGGGCAGACACGGTGGAGAGGGGCAGACACCTGGAGAGGGGCGGACACGTGGAGAGGGGCAGACACAGGAGGAGAGGGGCAGACACGGGCGGAGAGGGACAGACACGGGAGGAGAGGGGCAGACACGGGCGGAGAGGGACAGACACGGGCGGAGAGGGGCAGACACGGGCTGGAGGTTGTTCTGTACCCTGTGGAGTGGTTTGAATAGTTTTACCATCGTCTGTGCCCCTTCCCGTTCAGAGCAGAAACGGGGGAACAGACCTCCGCTGCACTGCCGTTGGGCTGTTTCTGGGGTGTTCACTGCCTTGCTCCCCCCGGCGCCTGCGCTCACCTGTGTGTGTTTCCCTCCCAGGACCACCAGGACGGCTCGTCCAGCGAAGGCATCTTCGTGTCCAGGATCGTGGACAGCGGGCCGGCGGCCAAGGACGGGGGCCTGCAGATCCACGACCGCATCGTGGAGGTAGGTGGGCGCGGCCAGGCCAGCGAGGGCCCGGCTGATGCCGCAGCGTCCGCTCCTGGGCCGCGGGCCTGACAGTGGGTGTGCGCGGGCACCGCGTCCGGCCGTGCGGGACGGGCATCGGCTGTGCGGGGCAGGTCCCGTGTGCGTGACTTGCCGAGGACCCCGTCGCGAGTGCTGGGCTCACCGCGTGGTCTTCGCTCGTGGCCGTGCGCGGGCTCTGTGGCGCGGGGAGCCCTGCCTGGAAGCCCTGGGCGCGCTGCGTGGCCCCGGGTGCACGGGGGGCCGTTCCCGCCGGCCCCGGGGACAGCTGTGTCAGCGCGGCGTGGTTCCCGTCCCCGGGCTCGCAGCTCGGCGTTTCCGTGTTCTTCTTCCGTGTCGGTCTTCGCCGCCGGTTGGTTGTAGGGGCTGGCTGTCGGGGACACACACACAGGCGGCCTGTGTTCGGGATGTCACGCCGTCCGCCTGCCGCCTTCCCGCTTTCCTCGCCGCGGACCAGGCTTGTGCGTGGACGCAGCGGGGGCCTCGCCGCCTGGCTGCCTGCCGAGGGGCGGGCCGCTCGCCCTCCGTGCGTGGGCTCTGGTCGCCACGTTTGCACAGAGGAGCACTTTGCAGGAGTGGTTGACATCGGATGCCTCTCCGGTGCATGGACACGGGGGCTCCGTGCGTGGGCAGCCCAGGCGGGCGCGTGGACCCTGGCCCGCGGTGCTGTGCGGGGCCCACGGAAGCTGGTGCGTTCAGGGGGCACAGTGTCGGCCAGCAGGCAGCACCCGGGTGCTCGAGTCCTGCTCACGTGCACGCGGCCTCTGGGTTTCTCAGGTGCTTTCCTGGCCCGTGTGCCACGCGTGGGCCGGGCTGGGAGCCGAGCCGGGGGGGGGGGGGACACACCACGTGGGGCCGCATGACTGCGCTCCCGTCTCCCTCCGGCGCGTCCCTCCGGAGACAGCAGGGCAGCGGGGGCAGGGAGCTCCCTGGCTGCGAGGAGCAGGCGGGTTTGTGTCCAGGACACTGTTCGCATCGCCGTGGCCGGTGGCTTTTTGAGGTTCTTAAACCCGGGGCTCCTGGTGCCGTGATTGGGCGTGCCCGTGGGCCCGGACTGTCCTGTTCCCGAGATGGCGGGCGCCTGGGGAGACCTGTCCGGAAAGGTGCGAGCAGCGCCCTCCCGGAGCCAGCGGGCCGGAGGCCAGCCCGCTCCCCTCAGCTTGGATTCCAGCCGTGTCCACGCGCACAAGGCTGCAGGCGGAGACCCTGCTGTGGAGGCCGACCTGTGCCTTCCCTGCTGACCCCGACGTCCGTTCTGACATGTACCCCAGAGTCTCACCCCTGCCGGCGGCCGCCTTGGTCCTCACCTGCGGCCAGACGGCCATCAGCTCTGCATATACTCCGGCCTCTGCACCTGCACCCCCGGGCCCGGCGGGCAGGGGTGGCCCTGAGGTGGGCAGGTCGGTGGGGTGGGGCCTGGGGATGGTCTGGAGCAGGTCACGTGACCGAGCTCTGTGCCTGCCGTGTCTCCGGGACCCAGCACCCCGCCTGGCGCAGGGGGATCGCCCGGGAAACCTCTGTCACTGACTTGGCCGTAGATTTCCAGTCACACAGCCAGCTTCTGGGGGGTCACACTGCGGGAGGTCAGACGTTAGAGCAGGAGAGGCAGGCGACCTCTGGCAGCGACAGGTGGACTCGGCCAGCTGTCCCCACGGGAACAGCGGCGGCTGTAAATAGCCTGGTCTCCGGTGCCGGGCGGGGTGGGGCGGGGCGGGGGTGAGGGGTGAGGGGTTGGGTGGGGGTGGGGGTTCAGGAGCAGGCAGCTGCTTTATTTGGAAGCAAGTGAGTGACGGCCTCTGCCGGAGAGGAGGAGTGGAAGCCCTGTGATGGCTTTTTATGTTTTAAAAGAGATTTTAGAATTCATTTCAGAGAGAGAAGGGAGAGGGAGAGGGAGAGAAACATCAGTGAGAAGAGAGAATCACTGATGGGGCGCCTCCTGCACGCCCCACACAGGGGATTGAGCCCACAACCCAGGCATGTGCCCTACACCCTGACCTCCTGGTTCATGGGTAGATGCTCAACCACTGAGCCATGCTGGCCAGGCCGGGCTTTTTTTAATTTAATTTTATTTTTTAAGACAAATCTAAAGGTGTGATGCGAAGATGAGGGGATCAGCGTTGGAGATGCCGCTCTGGGTTTTAGGAAGGAACCAGGACAAGCGGCTGCACTTCTGATGCCCAGGCTTTGTGTCCTGGTGACAGTGACAGCCCCTGAGCCACATGCTCTGGGGTTCACACTTTACCCCTAATACCCCCCCCGCCCCCCCCCCAGCATGTCTGCCCGGCAGGTGCGCCCGGTGCTCCTGCAGCCGAGCAGAGTGGGAAACACTTTGCGTGGGTCACCTGTGCTCCGCCGTCTCCGTGGCTTGGGTGGGGTCGGTGTAGCTGAGTTCCGGAAGGTTCCTTCTCCCCCTGGCGTTTTGAACGTGCCGTTTTCTGCCGAGGGATTCTCACACACCTCTCAGGACACGAGGGCTTCCTACAGACAGGTGGTCAGGGAACGCCGACCCCAGTGGACTTGGGAGGGAGGGCCTCTCCGGAGGGGAGGTGACGGGGGTCAGACGGGAGCTCCGTTTTTTAATTCTTTGAGGAAATGCCATCCTGCTTCCCACCGAGGCCTTGCCCATCTGCATTCCCGCCACCGCCCTGCAACAGGGCTCCCCGTCCTCCACCCCCGCCTGCACTGCTGTGTGTGGACTTGCTGATGGCGGCCCTGCTGACGGGGTGAGGGGCACAGCTCGTTGTGGCGTTCACCTGCGTCTCTGGTCATGCGTGGCACTGAGCGTGTTTTCATACGTCTCCGGGCCACCTGCATGCCCTCTTCCGAGCAGAGTCCCTTCTGGCCCTTGCCCACTTTTTGTTGGATTGTTTTTGTTTGTTTGGTGTTGAGTTGTATGCGTTCTCTGCCTGTTGTGGAGATTCACCCTGGATCAGTTGTATCATGTAGAAGGCCGCCTGGGAAGGCACACGGGCAATTTTCCTTAATTATCGTCAGCTGAACTCAGGGTGCAGGCAGAGCCACGCCTTGGGAACATGTTTCCCCAAGATGGCGGATGGATATGTTATCAGCTTGGCCTTCCTATCAGCCCAGGTGTCGGCAGGGGCGGGACAGAATATGTAAACCCAGGCATGCTAGGGCCTACAGAAGAATGCAAATAAGTTGGTATTACTTCCTGTATTGGGGTATAAAATAAATGCGCTAGCAGGGAGGGGTCGCCTTTGTCTTCCTGCCTCTCCAGCAGGCAGGATGGCGGCCCACCCAGCTCCCAGCTTTAAATCTATCTCTGTGTCTTCTCTCTTTATTTCTATTATTTCTCAATCCCTGGCTGGGCCTCCACTTAGAACGGGTTCGTTCATCTCTGTTTCCCTGTGGAACGCGGAAAAGGGAGATCCCCGCCATGTCTGGCCCCTGCCGCATCAGGCCCCCCCCAGTACCATCGGTGGGCCGTCTTTCCGTGAGGTGCTGGCTTCCCCAGCTGAGCAGAAATGTCACAGTCTGACGTGGCCCCGTCCGTCGATCCGGAAACCATAGAAGTCCTAGAAGATGCCACAGGCAGTCATGCTGCGGACAGTTCTCCCCCGGATGTTTTTGTGGCTGAATCTCCCGGCCCACGGGAAAGGAAGCAGAAATGACGAGGGTGCTCGCAGTCTTTAAGGCCATCCCGTCGAGTTCCACAGTCCGAGTGTTTGCAACAAGGATGGAACCCTGCCCAGCGTGGAAGTTTTCTGCGTGTTCTGGAGCTAACGGTTTTAGGACCACACTTCGAGCAGCCGCGTCTCCTCGTCTCCTCGCAGCCTGGGGAGAGCTGGGGTGTGGACCGGGCGCCCTCGGCCTCACACTGCCGCTGGGGTTGTGTGGAAGTGATTGTTGAGCACGGGACTGGGCAGAAACGGCGCCACGAGGATTCAGGAAACGTGGATTCCGTGGAACCATGACCTTCGTGTCTTCCGGGCTGAGTCAGGATTGGCCACGGCCTTTGGCTGTGTTGCGGGAACAAATGTGCTTGTTGGACCGAACTGGTGACCTCATCTGTCTTCTCAGATGTGTTGGGGAGGCCGGGCAGGGCTTACCCCCTCCACCCCATCAGCCTGGTCAAGTGCTCAGCCTGGCGGTGGGAGCTCCCACAGTCTCAGCCAAGAAGGCATGCCTGTCCGGGCCGCGGTCTGGGTGCTGAGGGATTAGCGGTCGAGAGACCCCTAGAGGGGAGTTAGCCTGTGCTTAGCGGCAGCTTCGGCCCCGGGTGGTGCTTCATGTCGGACATTTTTTCCTTTGGACACGAGAGTCACATATCGGAGGGCCCGGCCGGCTCGTTAATCCTGACAACCGTTCCTGCTCTGTGATGTTGGAAGGAAGGGCGTTTGCCCCGTGAATGTCAGCCTCCCGCCTCGCACACCCTTCGCACGAGGACGTGCTGATGGCCTTCCCCGTGCCAGGAACCGGGAGCCAGGAATCCTGTGCTGTGCCTGAGAGAGAACGGTCTGTCCTCGGAGCGGGAACACCCAACAGGATCTGCTGAGATTTATTTATTGACTAGAGGCCCTGTGCACGAAATTTGTGCACTCTGTGTGTGGGGGGGGGGAGCAAGGGGCCTTCCCTCAGCCTGGCCTGCGCCCTCTTCCGGTCCGGTAGCTCTTAGGTGATGTTCGGCTGCCTAGAGGCAGGAGAGGCATCTGCCAGCTGTGAGCCCAGCTCAGGCTGCTGGCCGAGCAGCACTCCCCCTGGGGCCGTGCGCTGACCACCTGGGGGCAGCTCCCGAGTTGAGCATCTGCCCCCTGGTGGTCAGTGCGTGTCATAGCGACTGGTCACTCCGCCATTTGGTTGACTTGCATATTAGCCTTTTATTATATAGTATTTTAAAGATATTTTTATTGATTTCAGGGAGGAAGGTGGGGGGAGAGAGAGAGAGCATCACTGATGAGAGAGAGTCATTGATCAGCTGCTGCCTGCATGCCCCCTACTGG